ATGATGAAAAAACACATTGTAAAATATTAGTTAAAATTCTTATAGTTTGACTCTAAAAAGGAAATCATAACAATTAAAAGTGCATAGAGAGAGTAATAAATAGGTAATTAAATTTCAAGAAGTTTAAAATAAAAGGTTGAAAAAAAGAATTAGATAAACAACATATATTGAAAATTGAAAACATATAAATAATAAATGGGCCCAAATGAGGTCAAACTTTTTGGCTAATAAAGTAGTAGGTAATTAATGGTGTTAAATTGTCCAATAATATAAATTTTAAAGGTACAACCATAAAAGAAGAATGTACAACACTATGAAGCACATATCATCCAACACTTGTCATGTGCTAAGTAGTAGATATTCCCACTTATTATATATAGTAATATACACTAATTAGGTTTTTTTTTTTAAATCTTCGTTAATTAGGATTCCTTCCATGGATTTAGCCCAAAATCACGGGTTAGCAGATACTTGACCTAAAATTAAGTCCAAAATTGTATTTGACTCAAAATTGTGATATATTTGTTATATTTATTTAATAAATAAGGAAAATTATATTTTTATTTTTTATAATAGAGGAGTTTATTTAAGTTAATTAATAAGCCATATTTTTCTCTATAACGTAGCGGATTTTTCACCGACGGAATCCAACTGTAATTTTTATTTGTGGTAAACACAATTATTAATGAACTTTACTTGACTCAGGGTTTTATAGTAAACAGTTTATCTATCTCTATTAATTAGGGATAACTAAGGTCTGCATATACTCTATCCTCCTGTCTTTCTATCTCTACGAGTTAGGGTTATTAGGTCTGCATATACTTTACCCTCTTCGGACCTCACCTCACCCGTGGAATTTCTAGGTTTGTTGTTTTTGTTGTTGTAAATACAATTGTTATTGTCTATGTTTTACTTGAGTCGAGGATCTATTGTAAACAATTTCTCGATATCTTGGAGGTAAATGTACGTATATTGTTGTTGTTGTTGTAAACACAATTGTTACTGAATTTGCATCATGGTTATATGTATTGATTGTTATAGGTTGATGTGTATATTTATATTATATTGTTTCTAAGCAGTTTTTTTTTTTAAAACTGAATTTTGTTGAAGTACATATTGATTAAACTTTTAGCTTATCTAATTGGAGTATGGAGTTGAGTTTGATAATGAATATTGTAATTGTAAAATTACCAAAAAACAAAAATCAATAGTTTTAGGCTTAAATATTGTTTTGCGAGTGGACATTAATGTTACGTGTTACTGGTGGAAGATAGAAGGTACTTAGATTCAATCGTGTCTAATCATGTGTTCATTGCTATTCTTATTTGCTTTAACGAATATCACTTTTTGAATTTAGTAGGACGCCAAGATGAGTACTCTATCAGAAGACGAGCTCACAAGACTTTACAAAGTTCGTAAGACAATGATGGAAATGTTGAATGATAGGGGCTATCTTGTTGAAGAATTTGAGATTAAAATGTCAAAACAAGAATTCCTTCAGAAGTATGGCGTACACATGAAGAGACAAGACCTTGAAATTCTCAAAGCCAAACGCAACAATGATGAGAAGAAGGTACGCGTTCTTAAATCCTTTTAAAAAAGAATGTCTCTTTCCTGTTTCGATATGTTTAAAACCACAAGATTAAAGAATGTTCTGGTACATTTTGTTTTCCTAAACGTCGTGTCAAGTCAAAATCAGATAAACAATGAAGCTCCGTAGTTTATTGATTGCAGATATATGTGTTCTTTCCTGAAGGGGCAAAGGTTGGTGTTAAGGAAATGAGACCTTATGCAGAACGTCTGAGACAAGAAGAGATCTCCCAAGCAATTTTTGTTGTACAACAAAAACTGACACCCAAATCTCTTCAATTCATAAGTGAAGTATCTACAATGTTACACTTGGAGGTCTTCCAGGTGACTACTCTACTATTTTTGCTAATTGTTTGTACTTACTTTACTTGAATGAACGCACGTTCAGATAGGAAAAGGGAACAATTGATAATTGAGGCGTATTTTGATAAATAGCTGGTGATAGTTCAGGTGGCTAGGAAACTCTCACACCTATGAAATTGATAGTTGAGGTGTGTTTTGAGTTCTGGTATCTAGGGAACTCGCACCTGATAATTTAGGTACGAGATTGATAGTTAAGGTGTGTTTTGATAAATAGTTGGTGATAGTTTAGGTAGCTAGGAAACTTGCACACTTGATAATTCAAGTAAGAAACTCAAAAAAATCGTGATATTTTAGGTGGGTTTTTGACCTTTCATCTTTTTGGTACTTTTGTTATTGTGGTCTAGCTACTAGTCAAGTAGTAGGACAACCAAAATCAGAGTACCATTTACATTTTGATAAACGGACTTTAGCTGATTATAAATAGTTGAAACTGATTTTATAAATAAGCAGTTACGTGTTTGATATGTCAGGAAGCAGAGTTGGTGGTAAACGTTAAAGATCATGCTATAGTTCCTGAGCATCAGCCACTTGCTAATGCAGAAAAGAAAAGTTTGTTGGAACGATATACAGTGAAAGAATCACAGGTTCGTCTTAGTTTGCATTATTTGCACTTGCTAAACGATGTTGACCTATGTTGCTTGGAACCCTTGTTGGATCCTGCAAAATGCATAACTTTTGGAGGATCTGACATACTCGATGGTAGATCAACATAGCTTTTGAGTTTTGACTAATCGTTTTGTTAGATACTAGTTGATTATTCTCATCAGTTTTCTATCTAATCGAGTATTTTCTGTTGTTGAAACAGCTTCCTCGAATTCAGTTCAACGATCCAATTGCTAGATATTATGGGCTAAAACGTGGCCAAATCGTGAAAATTATCAGACCAAGTGAAACTGCAGGCCGTTATGTGACTTATCGATATGTTGTTTGAACTAGACACACAGTTTAGATGTAAGTAGTGACCAGAAAAAGTCAAGTAATGAAGTTGTTTGTTAGTAGTATTTGCTTTCTTTTCTTGCGCGTACCTTGACTATTTCACTAAGCACATATCAAACTAGTTTTGATGTTTATGAGTAGATAAGTCTTTAAGTTACTTGCGAATATCTTGACTATTTCAGCATATACTTACTACTTCTCACCTACGCAGGTAGTAGATAACTTTGCTAGCAAACGCTCATGTATATGGGGTAAAATCACCTAATATTCTCCGTCCTACCCTATGATTTGAGCACTGGTATTCGAAATTTGCACTCACTTTTTTAACCACTAAGCCACACTGAGGTTGAGGTTGCTCTTATATATACATAGTTCAAACTTCAACAAGAAAAATATCATGTAGACACTCTAGACCAAAAAAGTAAAGATAACCCTCCACCTCTTAAAGCAACAAGTAGTTAGTGGCGGAGACAGAATTTTCATCAAAAGGGTTCTTTCATTTAGTACATAGTGTAGTATTCGCCCCTCGATCTATCTCCGCCCGTAACTAACAATACATCTTATTGGTTGAAAAGAATAAATGAAATATACCATGAACAAACCAAGTTAACTTGTAAATACCCTAGTAGATTTTAATGGAAATCAATACAAATAATATGGTTTTAGTAAACCTAAAATAAACCTAGACTCCATACTAATTGTGCTAAAAATTTAAAAACTATAGACTCACTACTAATTAACCCTGCCCTATATACTTGATTTTAAATCCTCTGCTTTCTCATCTCCAAAACTTTCCTATGAGAACTTGAATGTAAATCAACTGAAAAAGTAGGGCTATTCGCGGGGCGATACTCAGGGAACAACCTTCCAGACTTATACCGGACCCCACAAGCGTTGCACAACGTTTTAGGTCCTGTAGGACCTGCACGCCATTGTGGGGTCTTATCGACCCCACAATGCTGACACCTCCTACCAATGCTAGTACCTCTTTTAGCTTTAGTCATTGATATTTTGAGCAATGTTAGTCCTTGCTTAGTACTAGTGTTGTTGAATTTCACTTGGTTACCCCATACACATGAGTTGTCACATTGCAAGGCGATTCTTCGCCTTCTCTTGCTCCGTGCACCAACGGGGTGGTTAATGGGGACTTGTAGGAGGCTAGAGGTGTGGCTTGTAAACGCGTTTTTCTTAACATTTACGTTGCAATTGTTGTTGTTGTTGTTGTTGCTGCTGCTGTTTTCCAGTACTGAATTTGGGCTGTGGTGATCAAATATGACATTAGGGACATGATCAGAGAATATGTCAAATTCTACTGCTGGAAATGCATCTTTATTTGAAAGCCATTCCAATTCTTCCTCTACATAATCCTGCAAAACGTATTCCGTTAATACTCTTCCGAGCATATAACAGCAACAACAACATATCCAGTGTAATCTCATAAGTCGGGTCTGAGCCTTGAGAAGGATAGTGGTAGAGGTTGTTTTCGATAGAGCAACTCTTATGAGTAGCTCAAAATAAACATTCATAATCACCTCTGGTTTTTCACTTCTTGGGAATAATAAACTTTCTATACTACCCCTTCCGTTTCAATTTATATGGTGTTGTTTGATTAACTTGGACTTTACGAACACTACTAAAAAAACATGAATTTTCGATAGACATTTTGTTGGAAATTTGCTCGTCCAAAGGAGACTTCCAATGGAAATTACGTGTCAAAAGTCTTTCTTTGTTAAACTCCTACCCTACTCTAGAAGATCGAGGAACTATTTCCAATAGACCCTTTGCTCGAGTAAAAACATATCAAAGCAGTTCGAAAAAAGAGAATAAGGTAAGCTTTATTTTATTTTTCTGTTTGTATCTTATAGAAAACTTTAAAATATCTAAGAGGGAATCTAATTATTTTAATATTGCACAAAAAAAAAAAGGCAATTTCAAAGGAATTTTTGCATAGGGACCAAAACGTCTTTTTGTATTTTATGTAATGCAAGTGGAAAACGGATACATAGTAATTATTCGTACAGCTCACTTCTAGTGGCTGCCAACGTACCAATCATAAATATATGTCGGCCACATTTTCAATTCCCAAAGTACCCCCATATTTTATTTCCAAAATTACCCCTATCATTTATAGCACTGTTTGAATTTATGTGAATTTTTTTTTTCATTGTAATCATAAAAAAGTATTATGTGAATTTCTAAAACAAGCCATGAATCCTTTTTAGGGTCCCCTGGCATGTGAAATGGAATAAATAAGGATATTTCAAGCGTAGAATATGTCGATATGAAATAGTAATCACATTATTTTATCAAATAGCAAGATAAATTAATCTTGAATTAGCTAACACCTCAAACAAAACACGACATAAAGTTAATCATAAATTTATTTCAAAATTATTATCCTTATTCCAGGCATCAAACAACTCATTTGGTTTCAAGGGTAAAATCGTCCAAACATGGTATCTTATTCCCTCACCCAACAAAATTACCCCCCCCCCCC